ATTTCTGTGGATAATGAAAAGTGGAAACCAAAATGGCAAAAGTGGAAATTTCCTTATACATCACAGCCCTTATGTAATTCCTAAATCCTAATTGCATTTGCTAATTGCTACTAACATGCTAGGAAGCTTCTGGCTTTATTTATCTACTACTCATTCATGCAACTGTAAGTTTATTAAAATTGATCCGATGAATTAATTTATTCTTTCCTACTAGATGCAGATGCTCGTATGTGTTAAAATCCAGGTACACTACTCCCTCAACACGATTAAAATGTTACATCAGCCGTATGCAATATCAAAAGGATAACAACTTGGATTCTGATTTCTTAACCAAAATTAAAAAGTTCATTGATTTTGTAAAGGCTGAGCAAAACTTACATAAATATGTCGTCAGTCTCGTCGCCACTCGGCAGTAGTCGGACGGCAGGCGGCGGTCGGAGTCGGACTTCAGGCGGCGGTCGGAATCGGTCTTCGGGTACGGCTGCGGCAGTTGTATGGAATTGTAGTTTGACCAAGAACAAGAAGTCGTATTGTAGATAGGGGACTAAGGGGAGAGCAAGTCGTCTTGAAGTCTTTAAAGTTCAAACTGCCCTACCGTCCGTATCTCAAACTCAAAGCAACCCCATTAGCCCAACATCTCAAAGGCCCAAAGCCCAACATCTCATCCAAATCGGGTTTCGGGCGGGTTCGGGTGATGAATCGTAGGATCCTACCCAATCCTATAATACCCGATTTAAAACTCGGATTCGGACTTCGGGGGGTTTCGGGTGATGATTTCGGATTCGGTTTCGATTTTTTTCGGTCGGTTTGTTCGGGTTTTTCGGATTTTGCTCAGCCCTAGTGTGATGGGGGATAGGGGTGGGGGCATGACGAACAATAGTAGCATGGTCGTGGTGGGTGGTGATGGAATTCAATTCCTTTCATTATGCAAAAGAATGATAAATTCATTAATTTGTGAAATTCAATGGAATTTAAATGAATGATTTTCATTCATTTCAAGAAATGAACCAAACAAAAGAATTGAAATTTAGTTAAAGAAATTTTCATTCCAATTCCATCAAATTCTTTCGAATTCCGTGAATCAAACACCCCTTTACTTATTGGGTTGGAATTACGTTAGAGTATTTGAACCCAACTTTCCTTCTATTCCTTATATTTGATATGATTATTAAGTCCTTACAAATATGTACATTAGACAATTGCGCTGTCACCTATACACATATACTTTAATTCTCTTCTTCATCTCTATATAACTCATTAGCATATATTTTCAGTATTTATTATCACATATGAAAAATTAAGAAAAGTAGTTGAGTATGACCTACTCAAGAAATACAGATACGTTATATCAATTGATTGATGACGAAAAAAAATATTATAAACAGAGAACATATCCAAGGTAACAAAACATACAAAAACATTTTGATTTATCAGCCTAACCAACCCAAGATTGCTTTGTAATTTTGATTTGAGTTGGGTTAGAGATTTTTTAAACTACATATATTCAGTTAAGTTGTAAAAAAGACTTCAACCCGATCAACTCAACTCATTTAGTCGAGCTTCTCGTATGGTGCTCTTTAATTCAGCCTCATCGTATCTTCACCATCATTTATGCTTTAAAACATGTGAAAAGCAAAAAAGAATTGTACCGATAGATGCACCAGACCCAAGCTTTTCAGCCTTCCTCCTAGCCCATGTCCAATGAGCAAAAAGAGCCTAAGCTTAACCACAAGAATGATACCTGATTGGTTTGAACTTGACTCCAAAGGTCAAAAGTACTTGGAGATCTCAGGTTCAAATCCAATTAAAAATAAAAATCTCCTTGTAGCCACGTAAGTTCAAACACGGTGACTCCGAACTATTTGCTAAGCAGGTGGTCACCATGAGATTAGTCGGCTCGCATAGCGGGTTAGATATCCAGGAAAAATAGCCTAAGCTTTTTTACGCAGATCAGGCCAAGCTTTCTTATGCCAGGTCGGGCCAGGATTTCGGATTTACAAAGTACCCAATTGGGCTTTATGAAGCTGGGCTTTTCGGGCTTTTTTTTGCATCTCTAAGTATAGATGGGCTAAAATGAATGGGACCCAAATGACTGAAGTTAAACTCATGATACCAGCCTTCCCAATACAAAATGTCAAAAACAATGTACCAAGAATCAACACATCTCAAGAGATACCAGAACCCGTAATCTCTAACAAAACAACATTTAAAACTGTTCGCATTCTACAACTTAATCAAACCTATTTCTTTTCTTCCTTCTCTGCCTCAGCAGCCCTCTTCAGCCTCGCACCCAGGTGACGTTTATTTGTCCTTTCAACACGTAGCTTGGCATACGCACTGAACGATTTCATCTCCTCAGTAACCTTTACTAATTCGACACTTGGCTTCTCCCTTACAATCGGCAATACTGGACCTTGAACCTGGGTCGCACTTGCAAGCTCCTCTGCCGTAGAGTCACCCGCCTGATCCAACAAACTTGTTAAAACCCACCAGCTAAAATGTAAAGGCCCCCTTCAGTATAGGAAAAGCCTTTGTACACCCTACTCCCAGACCCTACCTCCAAGTATAATATATTGGGTTCGTTTGCTTTGGTCTTTAACTGTGTATATGGCACAAACTCAAAAAAACTGGAAGATCAGAGAAATTAGACATAAGCAAGTTTACCTTTGTTTTCCTTGGGCGTCTTGGGAAGATGACTAGTTTAGCCTTGAAGGTTTTTAGCCTCTGAACATTAGCTTGCAAGCCTTCCAAGGAACGATTTCTGCGGCGATGATCCACAGCAATACCGATGGTTGGAGCAAGTTTCTTTGGAATACCCGCAGCCTGTTTTCACAGGTTAACCTTAGTTTTGTAAAATTGAACCACACCCACGTGTCTCGTAACTATCCTTCAAATTATTACTTACAAACTCCAAGTTCATCTATGTCAGTTTAAATAAGTGAAACAAAGCTCATAAAGCAAACAACCAACAATCTAAAAAATTAACATATATCAGACAATAACATGAAGAACAATCTAACAAGAATAGCTAACATTAAAGCCACCATAGCAACTCAATTTGCACCTACTGATTGATATAAAAGAAACAACATTTAACCACAAGGTTGGTGCCTGATTGGTTTGAGTTTGGGCTCCAAAGGTCAAAAGTGCCTGGAGGTCCCAGGTTCAAATCCAAGGAGGAATAAAAATCCCCTTGTGACCGAGAAGGTTCAAATGCAGGTGACTCCGGGCTACCTGCAAAGCAGGTGGTCGCCCTGGGATTAGTCGGCTCGCATAGCGGGTTGGATATCCAGGTTAATCAAAAAAAAAAACAAGATTACAAAACTCGAGTGTTATAACAGGGATATGTAACATTTTGGTCGGCATTTCTTTTAAATCTTTAGCTGCACATCTACTTAGTTTTCCACAAACTCCTAAACGAAATACAACTTAATTACGTAGACATAATACTGACTACCATACCTTCAACTCTTCAAGAGAAAATCCCCGACCCTCCCTAAGTTTCATGTTGTATTTCAAGGTTTGTCCATGAACCTGAGGACGAAGTGCTCCAGCAGGCCTCGGGAAAACTTTTACTGCCTTAGCTTGCCTGGCTGAAAATAAATGCACAAATAACCAGATTTAAATTGAGATGAAACTGAGATGAAACGTCAAAAGTGAAATCAGAAACAAACATCTAAAGCACTGATTCAACTTAAATTTCACAAACCTACCATTGCGTCTCCTTGTTTTGCGAGCAGGTTGGTTGAACCATGTCTTAACATAGTTCTGCCAATGCTTCTTGAAGTGCCCATTAGGGATAACATTGTTATGCTTTACCATGACTTCTCTGCAAAAGAAATCACACCATTTATATATGTATAGTTGCCTCATCAACTGCCCGTTAAAAATAACCTCAAAGTGGAAACTGTACATTAATCAAAGATTTGAACAACGATAGTGATTTTAAACGATAGAAAAAGTACTAATCTAATGTTTTAAAAAGATAATGGACACTTCCAAGGGGTTCCGTCCCTCTTATCTATAAAAAAGAGATAAAGAGAACAGTCTATAACATAGAATCCCTTCTTCTACAAGCAAAATTGTATATCTAATTAAAAGAAATGGACTAAAAGAATCGCCAAAATTACAAGTGCACATAGGATGGATTCGAGGGGTCGTGGCATTTAAACAACCCAGCCTCAGCCCTTGCAGGTTAGGTTGGGTTAGGAGGTTAATACTTAAAGGTTGATGCATAAGTTTTATGGAAGAAAGAACCTACATATCATATATGAGTTTATATTTAGTTGCAAACAGAGATAAACCATACTGTTACTAGAGATGGAAGAATTAATATATGATTTTAAGGTAAAACTAAAAACTACATATATCTGATAGATCTAGCAAGCCTGAAAACTAACAGAAATTTAATCAAACATTATCAGAACTTGAAGATTTTAGTATAATTCACATTTGGCCAGATGCCAACAATGGTATTTGGTTGTGTGATTCAAAATATCAGAGCTTCATGATGAACATGTTTAGCAGATTGAATATGCGATAAGTTGTTCTCCTAGTTTGTAAGGAAAGTCACACAAGCAACATAAATCATCATCTTTGATCCAATCAATATGCTTGTAACAGACAACTGGGAGTGAAATGAAAACATTATCTAGAATCTAGACAAGGATTGTTAGTTGATCCATGATTTGTTTCCTTTTCGTTTGTTTCCTTTTCGTTTGTTTCGAGAAATATATCGATCAATTCCGGTTCTTTCTCTTTCTCTTGATTCTTTTCCGATCGAGATGTATTGATCCTGTTCATGGATTAACGAAAATGTGCAAAAGCGCTATACATACAAACACACTTAAATTCGATCTCATACGCTAAACCCTAAAAGAGAAACACTAAACCATACCTGGATTGAGACCGTCGGGGAACAGAGGGCGAGAGCGGCGGACAGCAGAGTAGAACTAGGGATTTGAAGGCGGAAAGGGGTCTCTGGACTGGGCCTGGAAATACAGAATTTGGGTCGACCTTCGTATTACCTAACACTTGCTTTTTTTTTATTTGGTTAGTTAAATAAATGAATATGAGTAAGGATTTCGTTCGTTTTTTTTTAGGTAACGTTTGGTATGCAGACATAATTTGACAGGACAGAATTGAACAGGACAAAAGGGTAGGACTGGACAGGACATGACTAAACGGGACAGCACTGAACATAACAGGAGTATGTCTGGTGTTTGGTACGACTAGGACTGAACGGGACAGAACTAGATAAGCTACCCTCAAAATTTATTTGATGATTTTAAATATTTTATAATAGTTATAATTAACACAAATAAAGTAAATAATTAAATAATAAATATTTGTACATAATTTTCATATTTGTACCAAATTTGAATGAAAAATTTGATATAATTGATGGTAGTAGTGATGGTGGTGGAGGAGGTGGTTTTGGTTATTGTGGAGGTGGTGTTGGCCGACGGTAGTAGTGGCAGCTAGCGGTGGTCGTCGGTGGCCGACAGTGGTTTTGAAAGTAGAGGCAGTGGTGCTTGGTGGACGACGGTCGTTATAGAAGACATGAAGATGTTAGATTGTGGTGGTGGTGGCGGTGGCGGTTGACAACGATGGAGGAGGTAGTTGTGGTTGATCTAGTGAAGATAGTGGTGGTGGAGGTGAGGTGGCAATGAATGGTGGTGGTCGATGGTGGTCGTGGAGGAAGTTGTTGCAGTAGAGGAGGAGTTGAAGATGGCGAACGGCGGTAGTGGTGGTGGCAATGGACGGTGGTGGTTGGTGGTCGACTATGGTAGAGGTGGCAATGGACTTGGTGGACGGTGGTTGTGGAGGCAGTGGAGGATGTTGTTATAGTGGAAGAGGAGGTGGTCGTCGGTGACCGCCGGTAGTGGTGGCGGTGACCCAAACTAGCGGTGACCATTAAAACAAATATCATATTAAGGTTATATATCAAACTAGGGTAGATTAATAATATTTTAGTTTATGTTACATTCTTGTCCCATCTTGTTCCACCTATTTTGGTAGAACAAGAAAAGACCTCTTTTATCCCATGTTGTCCCACCTTGTCTCAGTTCTAGGCCCTGTCCTATGTCGGACCAAACGTGGGACAATGAGTTCTTGTTATATCTCATGCTGCACCAAACATGGGACAATGAGTTTTGTCTCGTCCTGTCTTGTCCCGTCCCATGTACCAAACGCAGCCTTAAGGATGAGTTAGTACATTAGACTTAACAAGATGGAACAAGGATCTTTCTTCTATATTTGGTAGGACTTTTATATGAAATAAAGTGAAACAAAATGAAATAGGTCTGTTCCACCCCTAACCCATGGAACAAGGTGGTGGAACATATTTATATTTTACCAATATGATTTCAAAATAAAACTTAGTTCTCTTCTAAAACATCAAATATGTCTCTCTTTTACATTATATTCATTCTTTAAATTTTATTTATTGTATTTTATGTTTTTTTAAACTTTTATTTTATTGTCCCCAAAATATTATTTTTATATGGTTTCTATATTTTCTTAATTTATGTAATTTATTATATATTAATTATAATAAATAATGTTGAAAATGAATTGAAAACTACATAAACTTTTTATTTTGGTATCATTTTAATTGTTTTAACGAAAACTTTCAAATGATATACTTTGTTATGAAAAATAATTATTTTATTATAATTTAATAAATCACATAAATATAATCAAAATATATAAATAACTCATTAAGGATAAATTGGTCATTTTACTTGTTTTATCATGTCCAGTTATATCTTATCAAACGTTGAACAACTATTCCGTCATGTTTTATTCTCTTGTGTGGACACCAAGCGCACCCTAATGTTTGTTCATTTATGTTTATATATTATTATATATATTTAATATCATGAAATTAATATGTAAAATCATTGATTGAATTAACTTTTTAGAATTTCTTCTTCATCCCTCCTAAATTTATCGGGTTTTTCAATTTGGTATGTTATTTTTAAGGAAGGAAATGATGAGTAATGGTGGTTGTTTTATAAATGAACACAAACAAGCATATTTCCTTAATGAACTAACATGAACACAATAATTACATTCGCTTACCATTTGTGTTTGGTTGTTTGTTCAATTAAGTTAAATGACTGAAAAAATGGGTTCATTTACGGTCGTATATATAATGTTTTTAACCGAAATGCTTTAACAAGAATGATAGATGTTGTTTACCAAATTTTTAATTAAGTTCTGTATGGATAAGTTTGTCTGTCTAGATAAAAATTTGTTGTTGTTTACTTTTTTACTGAATTAACCGTCTGGAAAGATAGAATTGACCGTTTTACCCTTTAGTTCATCAGATAAAATTTAACAAAAAAAAAACTTGTGAAATCAGGAACAATTTGCACCATAAACAATCAATGAACAATCTGAACTTGAGAGATGAGGGTTACAATTAGGTTCTAGGAAAGACGAACAGAAATGTAAATAGGGTTTTGAAATCGAAATTTGGAATGAAATAAACGAAATCTGAAACAGATAACAGATAACAAAAATTATTAGAAACTTCAAAAGAAACTTGGAACGAAATCTGGAATAGACAACAATAAACAAAAATTATCAGAATCTTCAAAGAAAATCTGAAATGAAAACAAAATCGAAATCGAGAATGAAATCAAAATCGAAAACGAACCTCAGAAACTTCAAAATAAATCTAGAACGAAATCGAAAACGAGAAGGAAATCGAGTTCTTCAATCTAGGAAGGAGATGCAATGGTGATTCGGGTTCTTGAATCGAGGAAGGAGATGCAGTTCTTGAATCGAAAACGAACATAAAATCAAAAAATGAAAACGAAATCAGAAAATGAAAGTAAAATTAAAAAACAAAATTGAGTTCTTGAATCTAGAAGGGAGACGTAGTTCTTGAATCGAAAACGAACATAAAATCAAAAAATGAAAACGAAATCAGAAAATGAAAGTAAAATTAAAAAACAAAATTGAGTTCTTGAATCTAGAAGGGAGACGTAGTTCTTGAATCGAAAACGAAAACGAAAATCAAAAAGCAAAATTTGAGATGGGATCTAGAACGAGGCGTACACAATGAAGGCGGCATGAAGGGGTAGGGTTGTCTTTTTTTTTTTTGGCTGAATGGACAAGAGCCATTTCCCATCTGTGCGAATAAGTCCATTTCTGTGCAATAAGCCCCAAGTAAACATCACATTTTGGCTGAGCGAATAAGCCTATCAACCCATTAAGCTCATTAAGTCATAACTAAACACCCCATAATCCAACTTGATCAACATTTACTTAATTAACGTTCACCCATTATATGTAGGTAAAAAAGGACTCATTAGAAGTCATGTGGGCACTTATTATTAGAAATCATTTGAGCACCATAATATATGTCGTGTACTTATTAATTGTATACAATATCATAATATATATCAGTGACAGGTTGAGTTGGGTCTAACCCAAATTCAATCTTATAAATCGACAATTTAACAGTTTAACAGATTAAATTTAATCGGATTTTCTATGAGTTGGATTGGACACTTTTTTGTGGCCTAACCAAAATAGTTACATTCGACTTCAAGGTAGTATTATAATTCAACCGACATATTGGTTCAATACAACCTGATTGAGCAAAACCATGTTTTTACACAAAAATGTAGTCACATCTCAGTAGTTGCCACAAGAAACCGAGGGAGAAAGAGAGAATCTAAGAGAAGTAAGTAACGTAGAACGAGAAATGGAAAGAGGTCGGTGCTCATAATCAGGAGTCTATATTGCAGCAACCTTGAGGTAATAAGCACTGTGATCACATATTTGATGTTATACACATGTTTGTTGAGTCGGTTAGTCGATCGAATAATAGATTTATATTGATTTTTCGGTTCAAATAGGAGATCATATGTTTGGATTAAACCATTAATGTTAAGGGTTAAATAGCTCGAACCCATGAGAGGAAAAGGGGCGGGGTTGTATGCTACTGGAACACAACTGTGTGGGGTTGCTAGTAGTCGAAACAACCATATACGTGACTAATCATGTTGCCCGGCCATGTACATGTATGGTCTTGAAAAAGGAACCGAGGTGTTGCTCGAACATATATATATGTATATATATAATGTGTGTGTGTATGTGTGTGGGGCAATATAGAACAAAACCATATAAGGGATTCATGGTAATTCATATAATGTGGATGGAATCTTGCAGATTGTTCTTTTAACTGTTTAATTTCAGGAGGCTTTTTAATTAAATCACAAAGTGTCGTAAAAGGTGTTGATGAACGATGACTATCAAGAAGCTTTATATCAAATTATGGAGTTCACATTAGGGGTGTTTATGGGTTGGGTTGATTGGGTTGAAGACATTTGAACAACTCAATCCAATGCTTGCGGTTTGGAAAAATCTTAACTCAATCCAACCCAAACCAAAGTGCAACCCAACCTGTACGGGTTGGTCGGGTTGATACTTTGATATATTAAAATATTCTTCTAACATTGAATATGTTATTTCTTTACTCATAATTTATTTTTCATCATCAACAAGTTGATACAATTTATCCATATTTCCTACGTATATCACATTCAGTTAATTTTCTCAATTTACATATATATGTTCACAGTTATTGAACATATATATGAATGAGTTATATAGAGATATGAATAGATTGAAAATATGTGTATATGAAAAGCATACATGATAGTGTAATTGTCTAATGTATATATTAATAGAAATTTAACAATCATATTAAATTCAAGAAATAAAAGGATATCGGATTCATCGGGTTGAGTTGGGTTCAAATAATAGTAACTCAATATCTACGGTTTGACAATTTTACAACTCAATTAGACATCGAGTTGCTTCGGATTGGGTTATTTCGTCTTCGGTTGGGTTGTGTTGATCGGGTTTTTGAGCACCCCTAGTTCACATAGTTATAAAGGGTAAACTGACGTTAATGGTATTTTATAATGGGAATAAAGTGATGTAATTGAAGTTAATAATTATTTGAGCACTTTAGTTAGGAGTTGAGAATATTATAAAATATCAAATTGACGTTATAGGGTGGTGTAAAGCTTAAAGCTTGGATTTAACTATATTTGACGGAGGTTGATCGAGTTGATTAAGTGGTGACTTTATTGACCAAAGTCACAAGGTTGGACCTTATTGACAAAGCTTTGACTTTTGGGTCATTTGTTTTTTTATGAAAACCTAGTCGTTAAGTAGCTATTATGGTTTAATAATTGTAGGTTATCTGTTAGGGGCGATGACTTGGCAACATACGCAGTCAGGTGAGTTTTCATAAGACTTTAATTGGGATACATGCTTATGTACAAATTATTTGAGCATTATGTTATATCTATGTACATGTTTATGGGCATGATACATGTATATGAATTATTATTGTAGGTTGCATGCTATTTGTTTACGTGTTTTTATACATTAATTAACATGTTATAAATGGGTTACTATTTTTAATCAGGTATATGGAATTAAGTTGATATGTCACAAGGGAAGGCACTTCCTATGGATGGGTCATCGGACAAGGGAGAGTCGTATAACCAATGGAATGCCGGTGACTGTAAGACCTTTATCTGATGCGACATAAAATGAGATTCCGTTATTATTTAAAGGGGTTTTGAAGCAAATGTGCATATTATTTTATTCAACTATGTGTTTGTTTTATGCATGATGAGACATGTAGGATTGTGTACGAAAACCATGAACTCATTGAGCTTTATAAAGCTGACTATTAGTATGCATCTTAGGAGCAAGATGATCAAGGGTGGAGAAGGGCAAGGTTCTCGCTTAGAGAATTATATTGTGATGTTCAGTTTCATGTTGAACTCGGTTTGTAACGTAACCCTGTATGGGATGGGTTAACGTTGGGTTTATTAATTTTATTTAAATTTTGTATGACTTCCACTGTAACAGACTTTATTAGTCGTTGTATTTCTGGTTACTTGTTGTTGTTTAATGAGAATATTGTTACACAACTCATGGTGATAAATGAGGGTGTTACACTACACACACCTCTTCCTTGAGTTCCCCATGCAAAAAGGTTGATTTAACATCAAGCTGATAGAGATTCCATCCCTTTTGAGCTGCTAGAAACACAATCATCCTCACGGTATCCATCATTGCAATCAGTGCAAATACTTCTTTGTAGTCAATCCTTTGCTGTTGCACGTACCCTCTAGCCACCAACTTCGCCTTGAACGTATCTAACTCTCCATTCTCTTTGGGTTTAGTCTTGTGCATCCACTTCTATCTTCTTTGCACCAGCAGGCAGGTCAGTAAGTTCCCACGTGTTATTCTTAAATCTATTGCCTTAATTTCCAGATACATAGCCATCTTCCAGTTGTCATGCTTGATTGCTTCTTCAAAGTGAGTAGAGCTAAATGCAGGATTATATCTTCTTCATCTGAAGATCTCTCCCCGTGCAGATTTATATCTTTTTCATCTAAAGATCTGTCCACGCTTACATAATCACGCATCCACACTGGAGGTCTTCTAACTCTTCCTCGCTCTAATCGTTCAAAATATGAAAGTTCGTTGGCTCTTTTTTAGACTTTTTCCATTATTTTTCCACATTAACTAGTTGTATATGCCATAAGGATGTATCTAACAGGTTTTAGAAAGTTCAAGAAGTTATTCAACATGTTTTTGAATACACAATGATTTATTTGTTCCAAAAAATTGTCCAAAAACGTAACCATTCCAAACCCTAAAGTCCATTGAGAGAAACGATCATGTGAGAAACTAAAAAGTTCTAAGATATAATTACAGTTTTTGGATACGTTTAATAATATATGATTAAACGTCTATATTTTTTTATCAATATAACATATACTTAATCATATATAATTAAACTTATATATAATGCATATAATATTAAAACTTATTTTTATAAAAAAATTATCTTGTGATTTAAACTCCCTTCTTTGATACGCCCAAAAAATGGATGGTGTTTTTATTTCTATGATTCCAACTTTTTCCGTGTCAATAACCCAACCAATCGATCCCATCCATCCATCCATCCATCCATCCATCCATCCTTTTAGATTCACAATCTTTCAGTTCCGTGCCTTACTACTTTTACGGTTTTACCCCTCTTTCTCTTTCTCTTTCTCTTTCCGATGCAACTGAAACAACTCTCCTGCACAATGACCGAATATCTGGGAAGCTGCCAACATCCATGAAAACCATCGCCACGATTTCATGGTTCGTATATATTTCAACCCTTTTTTGTTCATAACCTCCATCATCCATCTACTCCACCTTTCACCGATTTTAACTGCAACTATGCATCTTTAATCCACAGATTTTACTGATCTCACTGGTTTTTACCTGCTAAATTACACTCATGATTCTTGCTTTTGGATTCATTCCAGAAGAGACCCATGTTTGCTTGTATAACTACTTGCTTCGTTTCTTAGAAAAAGACAGAATTTTGCTTAAAAATTAAGCTCATTTTTGTGCCATGGAAATCAGCTTCAAATCAGCAACTTTCACCAGTATTCCGTTTTCTCTGAAGAGGGCATTCCAGAAGCAGTTAGTTTTGTATTAAGCACTACCTTTCTTAGCCTTTCATCTGAAAGAGGTAAGACTCAAGACTTGACCTAACAAATGGGAACAATTTCTATTGAACATACAGATGTTTAAGTGAAGATTGATCCCTAAAAGTATTGATTTTCAGATCGTTCAGCCATTTTTTTCAGCTTTTAGTTCTAATCTTGCTGATGCAGTTTTCAGTTTTGTGCTGTATGGTTATTCATATGTCCTCAATCCTTAGTATGTTTCAGATTCTTTTAGGACCGGACAGTACAAAAACTTGTCTTCCCATGTTTGGCGGGACATTAGATAGGGAGACAAGACAACTGATAAATTATTAAACTACCTATGTCAAATTGAAACCCTGTAACCTATCCAGACACGTCAGCATACCAAACGCACCCTTGGGGCACAGGGCTCAATCAGTTCATATTTACTAGTCTTGCTTTTTTGCTCACTTTTTCACAAGCCAGGGTCTTCATGGAAACAGTCAACTCTACCTTTGTGGGTAGAGGACAGACCTACATACATCCCACCCCAAATCCTACTTCCAAGTGGGATATATTGTGTTCGTTTGATTTACCACTAACGAGCATTATAACTTTTGACTTGCATTTTGCTTACATTTTGTAACTGTGTTCTCCTGCAACCAATTTTTACCAGTAAAATGTTGATGTTGTAACATTTGATGACATGGATGGCAAGTTTATCGTTCACTTCATTGTAAACCTGTAGCAAACAGGTATTTACGTCATCAAATGTTATATTTAAAGTTACAAGATCAACAGGTTACTGGTCAAACCGAGTACGAAATAGGAAATTTTGAAACTTTGTTGTATTCTTCACTTGATTGTTTATCCTCCTTTTCGTTACTAAATGCAGAAATTGCGGAACACCGGTAATAGACAAACATCCGTTGCAATGAGAGGATACAATGTAGAATATGCAGGGATTAACGAAGGAAGTTCTCCCACGGGTAACAAGATCAAGAAAATTTCGATTTTGCCCCTTATTTTTCTCATATTTTACGAGGTTTCTGGAGGGCCTTTCGGAGTTGAGGACAGTGTTAAGGCAGCTGGCCCTCTGTTAGCACTTATAGGGTTCTTAGTATTCCCGTTTATATGGAGTGTACCTGAAGCTCTAATAACTGCTGAAATGGGCACAATGTTCCCAGAAGATGGTGGTTATGTGGTTTGGGTCTCATCTGCTTTAGGTCCATATTGGGGGTTTCAGCAAGGTTGGATGAAATGGCTTAGTGGGGTCATCGATAACGCCTTATACCCGGTTCTTTTTCTCGATTATTTAAAATCCGGCATCCCGGCTTTAAGTGAGGGGTACCCACGAATCCTAGCGGTTTTAGCTTTGACGATTGCCCTCACGTATATGAACTTTAGAGGCATGACAATTGTAGGGTGGGTTGCTGTTCTTTTAGGGGTGTTTTCCATCCTCCCGTTTGTAATTATGGGTCTTGTTTCGGTTCCTAAGATTGAGCCTTCGAGATGGCTCGTGATGGATTTACATACGGTCGATTGGAATTTGTACTTGAACACACTCTTTTGGAACCTAAATTATTGGGACTCAATAAGCACACTTGCAGGAGAGGTGGAAAACCCAAAGAAGACTCTCCCTAAGGCTTTGTTCTATGCTTTGATCTTAGTAGTTGTTGGCTACTTTTTTCCGTTACTCGTTGGCATTGGTGCCGTTCCGCTCCAGCAAGAGCTTTGGACTGACGGGTATTTCTCGGAAATTGCTAAAATCATCGGCGGCGTGTGGTTGAGATGGTGGATCCAGGCGGGTGCTGCCATGTCGAACATGGGAATGTTCGTCACTGAAATGAGTAGCGACTCGTTTCAGCTTCTTGGAATGGCGGAAAGAGGCATGCTTCCGGAGTTTTTCGCAAAAAGATCCCGTTATGGAACTCCGTCAATCGGGATCTTGTTCTCGGCTTCTGGAGTCATCTTGCTTTCGCAGCTGAGTTTTCGAGAGATCGTGGCTGCGGAAAATTTCCTTTACTGTTTCGGTATGATTTTGGAGTTTATAGCTTTCGTAAGGTTAAGAATCAAGTACCCAGCCGTGGCTCGACCGTACAAGATACCGGTTGGAACCAGTGGAGCCGTGGTTATGTGTGTTCCACCAACCATATTGATTTGTATCGTTTTGGGTCTATCTTCGGTTAGGGTCATGACCGTAAGCATTGTTGCCATAGTTATCGGGCTCGTTTTGCAGCCGTTTTTGAAGCTTATCGAGAAGAAACGATGGATCAAGTTTTCTACAAGTGCTAATCTCCCAGATCTTCATAACGAGTCTTTGGTTTATTAGGGAAGTGCTGTTTGTATTTTTGTTGTATGATGAAGGATGGATTGTTTTTTGTGGTTAAATTTTGTTTTCTTTAAGTAACACATAACTTATACGTAATGCAATTAAAGTTGTACATTTCTTGCAACACACGATAATCGTATGCAAACAAGTCGAATTCGAGCTTGACTCAATGGTGTTAGACTTGCTCAAACTCGATTAAATTGCTCGATGAGTTCTCTTGATGCGGGATCGAGGTTGATATGAGAGCTCGAATAGCTTGAAAGCGTGCTAAAAACTCGGATCTCATAACAATTCTTCAACTTTGAGTTGTTACAAACACAAATCTGAGTTCAAACCTTGAATTATTCAATGAAATCTCGACTAACGACGATCGACCACTCTCTAACCGCTGAAAACGGGGAAGTAAACCAATCAGCCAAAACATACGCAAATGTTACTCTGTTTTATAATATCCGACACTAAAGATCTTAAATAAAAACTTAGAAGCAATCGTATTACACCTGCACTTGCGTCGATACTAAAAAAACCATCAAAATAACGATCGGGAATACAGAGTTAGACACGGCGCTGCTTCCTGAGTCGGCATCCGTTATGTGGTTTCCGAGTTGTATCTTCAATGTAAACAATAGGATTTTGGTCGGATCTCGAGTTCGTGTATCCGTCCCTAAAGCTCAAAATGGCTAACTTCTTTCTCTTAAAAAAAGTAAACCCGTTAACCTTCATAACAACCGACTTCAATCCCATACTTTTGGCAACTCGCCCCACGTGTTCAGCAGTCGCTTCAGCTGAGTATTTAGAAACCTTCGGTCCACCTTTCATTTCCGCCAAACATCCTGCAGATGCTCCCATTTTCTTGTTTCCCTTGGAATCGGTCACAGTCACAAACGTGTTGTTCCGCATTATTTTGATATGAACGATATCTGCATTGTTTTCTATCCCGTATCGATTGTCATTTCGGTCGTTCATCATTCCCTTCACAAAATTCATATCCCTCCCGAGAGGTCTAGCGTCTCTACTACCTGTTCCGATGTTGGTCAATCTCCGGCTCAAACCCTCAAATACTCCAAAGTTCCTCCCTGTGCTCGTGTTTGCATCGCCCCATCTTCTATTTGAACCCTCAAAGAATCCGGGATTTTCCTGGGTGTCAACGGGTCCGTTGTCCATGCCTTTCTCAAACTCATTTGGGCCAACTGAATGTATAAAACGTGCAAATTTCAACGAGCACAAGTTTCCCAAGAATCTAGCTCCAAAGTTCACTGAAGATCCTGCAAAAATCAAAACAAGAGAGAGCAAAATAAATCGATCAATGCTTAAAAACTTTATTCTGTTTCATAACCATACAAAAGATCGGGGGAAATTACCAATTTTCAAATAATACTACTCACATAATCTTGGAGAAAATAAAAAAAAGTATGAGAGATCGTTAACAAAATATTTAATCAAGTAACTTTTTTTCCGAACAAGTACTTCTAGCCCATGAAGTTGCAATGCTTGGCTAAGCATATAGTTTAAGAAAAAACGGTTACAACTATTTTCAATCTGTGACGGAATAAAGGGATCTTGAGAACCCAAAGAAGACCGTTGCTTTATTTTGTGATAAAGATAGCGACCAAATAAGTATCTTTAACAGGAAAACATTTCAAAAGTCATATGCCGCAACTGTGATGAGACATCCAAAAAATGAAAGGGTTGCAGTTTTCATGGAACACAAAAGAGCAGTAGAGCAAATTGATTTGATTGTAAATATAGTATAAGATTAGGCAGTTAACCATTGTTAATCTCTTCTTAATCATGCCTTAATTCTCTATTTCATCATTACCAAATCTTGAGATGAGATTGAAATTTCAATCATGTAGCAGAGGGATGTGTTGCCTTCGACATTTAGATCTTTGTGTGGAGAAAAATAATTAGAGACTAATAAGCAGTTTTGATATAGTTGAAGAGCATTTGGCATGATTGATACAAGTGCAAAAAGCAGTCTACTTTCTCTTTAACATGTAATATACACACACACACATATATATATATATATATATGTGTGTGTGTGTGTATATACACACATATATATGTGTGTGTATATATATACATAGAACCCAAATCATTTAGTAAAGAATCCTACTATGAATGCCTAAACATAAACAAACTTTAACTCAACTCTTGAGAACAACTAACTTGTAGTTGTAGAATATAATGAAAATGCAAAAAGTTGTTTCATCTAATAAGAGACTGGTCATCTTTATGTGGTATAGTTTTAGTCCACCTTTTTTCCCTTTAAGGTTGCGTTTGGTACATGGGACGGGACGGGACAGGACGAGACAAAACTCATTGTCCCATGTTTGGCGCAACATGGGACAGAACAAGAACTCACTGTCCCACGTTAGGTGTGACATGGGACTGGGACAAGGTGGGACAGTATGGGACAAAAGAGGCTTTTTCTTGTTCCATCAAAATAAGTGGAACAAGATGGGACAACAATGAGACAGAAACTAAAATATTACTAATCTACCTTAGTTTGATATATAACCTTAATATGATATTTGTTTTAATGGTCATCACCACTAGTTTCGGCCGCCGCCACCACCGCAGGCTACCTCCACCTCCTCCACAACCACTGTCCACCGCCACCTCTACCATAGTCGACCACCGACCACCATCGTCTATTGCCACCAGCCCACCACCACTACCGCTGTTCGACACCTCCAACTCCTCTTCTACTACAACAACCTCCTTCACCACCGTCCATTGCCACCTTTACAACCACCATCACCCATTACCACCAACACTACCAACTCCAACTCCTCCATGACCTCCACATCCACCGTCGACCACCACTGTCTATTGCCACCTCCAATTCCTCCACAACCACCGCCCGACCGTCGATCACCACCGTCCATTGCCACCTCACCTCCACCATAACCACCACCACCATCTTCACTACATCAACCACAACTATCTCCTCCACCGTTGTCAACCGCCACCACCACCGCAATCCACCATCTTCACGTCCTCTATAACCACCATCGTCCACCAACCACCACTGCCTCTACTTCCATAACCACCGTCGACCACCACCACCTCCACCATAACCAAAAACCACCTCCAACGCCACTACTACGATCAATTATATCAAAATTTTCATTCAAATTTGATACCATTATGTATGTATGTATTCATTTATATGAAAATTGTGTAAAAATATTTATAAATTAACTTCTTTAATTATTTACTTTATTTGTGTTAATTATAACTATTATATAATATTTAAAATCATCAAATAACTTTTAGGGTAACTTGTCTAGTTCTGTCCCATCCAGTTGTAGTCGTACCAAACACCAGACATACACTTGTTATGTCATGTCTTGTCCTGTCCAGTTCTGTCATGTCCGGTCATGTCCAATCATGTATGCGTACCAAACGCTACCAAATAGAACACCATTTCATAAAACTGACATTGTAAGGAACTGTCCAACTAACTTAAAGATAAAGACAACAAGTAGTCACTGAGTCAGTTATGCCAAGTCTTGGCCTATAGCTCACCCTTTGGTTTATGACTAGGGGTTTGTTTCTTAGCAGCTTAATGAGCTTAATGAGACTTACAACTTATTCAGTCAGTTATAGATGACTGTTAGGTAGGGGATTAGTGATAAAGAAAATGTCTTATTTAGTAAGCTTCAAGGGGGAGCTTTATGCAGAAAACCTCGGTTTTTCCAAACATGTCCCTCCTAATTAAAAAAACACACTCATTCCATCTATGAAAAAACCCTCTCAAACAAAAACTTCCAATCTATATAAACAAATTAATTCACAGACGGTTTTATCCGTACAGGTGTTGATGTAAAACCAACCAGACAGCCCACTTTATTCAGGTTAAGCCCACATTCAACCTTCGGTATGAGACACCTGACAACCATAGATTGCAAAATTATAGGATGAAAACATACTAAACATCCGAATTGCATTCCTTACAGTCAGAGGCAGGAATCAGTTACATGATTAATCACATTGCAATACGAATCTTAGGATTAACTATAGGGAAACATTCGGGTTTAATAACTTCAAATTCAAAATATATAGTCGCTAACATCAATTGATCTAGAGAACCATGAGAAAACTATATTTAAAAAAGTGAATAAGAAAAAGAAAATAAGCAGACTATATCATAAACCCTAAATAAATACCAAATTCGGAATGCCAATATGCAGGCACATTATCATATACTACAAAATTGAGCTTTACGCAAACTCATTTGTATACCAAGCTAATACAAATAAAAATAAAGCAACTTGCCTGAAAACAAATCACATTTTCGTGTGATTTGGGAGAATGCCAGTAACGTCTGAGGTTGGCCAGAAATCCGAGTCTTGCCGGGTAAATGAGAAATGATTTGTTGGAAGACCATCGGATGGAGTTGGCTCTGTTTGGCAAATGCTGAATGATTAAGTGGTCAGAATGATTAAGAGTCTCTGTATGTTTTAGTGCATAACGAAAAGTAACCATTTGTTAATTGTTCTACATGGATAGTTTGAATGACAAAAAATTACCATTAACCTTGTATGTGATTTAATGTCGAATGAAACATAATTGTTTGACAAGTATCTGAATTAATAAGTTGATTTGCAATAACTAACAAAAAATATGTTACCATGTAGTTTATGAGCATCTTACACACACATAGATTCTTGAACTATAATTTTAACATGAGATACTTTTTCATGACCACAAAATAAAAGTCTATTTTTTTCATATTTATGTGGATTTATGAACACAATCAACTAGTATTTGTGTAAGCAAAGAGGCATTTGGGTAATTATGCTCGTCATAACCCCACTGTTTACGATATGCCATCAAACATTACTAATTCCATACATGATTGTGTCGAGGAAAAAAAGTTATCTTTCCTTCACTCATTCTTCGTATGTACTCTTTATCGAGTTAAGTTTGCTAATTCTTATACATGATAATATCAAACTTGCATATAAGTTTGATTCCACAATAAATCCACAAGAACAAAACCAAATAAACAAATAAAATCACATGGATTATTTCTACAAAGAATTACTTGATCATAATAATCAAATTTTAGGATCTCATGCACCGACACTATTTGAATATTATGATCAAGTAATAGGTATTCAATATCCTCATTAATGACACTATTTGATTGACATTGGAGAAATATTAATCTAATATTCAACTTGAGCTTATTTTATCAATATTTGAGCTTGACTTTGAGCTTGATGCTCGTTTAATAGTTTGTGAACTTTGGCTTTTAAAAATTATTATAATCAAGTTGAAAACAAAATTTAGAAAACACAAGATAAGTTTTTTAGTCCTTTGCTGAAATGAAATTCAAAATTTGGTCTTATTGGTATCATGTATGCAACAGGATATTATGATTAGGGCTGGTCCTGAGGTTTGGGCTCATGGCAGAAAGCCATAAAAATGCCCCTAACATGTAAAATAAACAAACCAAATATACTATTTGAAAGGGTTTGGGACCTAAAATAAACAACAGGGGACATAAACCAAAACCACGAATAATTATTTATCTAAATTATTTTGGGATGGCCAGATGGATTATCATTGTAACAATGATGTATATTGTTGTTTGCTAATAAAGTCATGTCAATGCCTACATAAAGACACAAAGAGTTATCTTCTCTATTGACCTTCTCATCTCTATAAAATGCATCTTAGTAACACTCAAGCTAAAAGTCTAGTAGTTATTTTCCATAATTTGGGGTGTTACATATGGTTTGTTGTGTATAATGATTTTCGTCCCTCGTCTGTAAAAACTACTTTTCTTTCGTCAATCTGGTTTCCATTTGGTTTCCTTTTTTGAAAGTGTGTTCTTGAGGAAGGTAATTGCTTATTCCCTTGTTGAACAACCTGATTGGAAAGATCAAGGCCATATAGTTTTTGACTTTCTATTAACCTAATTCACCATGTGTCAGCTTTAAGATTGCATAGATCATAGCAAGAAAATTACAATAGGTTAGCTTGTTAAAGGGTGAATCGCTACCTATAGATGATTACAAGATGCACAAAAAAGTTTTGCTTTCCTAAATGAAATCTACATATGGACGCTTTTCTGAGTATCAGATTGTTTCTTTTGGAAAGCGAGTATCAGATTGTTCAAGACATTATATTGTAAAGATGTAGACGTATTGTGAAAACCACTGCACCGTTGATGACGTAAATTATGCATGGTTTTAAACTAACGCTCGTTGTTTCATTATCATCTAATGGTCTCTTGATTGAACATGACTTGAGTGATTCTTTAAGCTGAAATACTATTTTGCTTCCGCAGGTGGTTGTGATTGCTGTTGGTGTTGATAGTTGATACTGATACAACTGCAACTGAGACCAAAGATACTGTCCTGATTCACAGTGCTGAACAGGTGCAATCTTATGGATGTCCATTATTCCTGTTCAGATATTTTTGAAAACCATCATGCTTAAAGACTCTACCTTCTATCTCAGAAAGCATTCAAGCTAATAGTCTTTAGTTTTTTGACAAATCTTTGCACAACTATACAGAATTCCATGATTGCCTTAGAGGTTCTTGGAACAAAGCTTTGCAGAAATATAAAATAAAAACCAGCTAGGGTTTGGCCAATTGGGTTTCTGGCCTCTGGGTAGCGACCATGAATCAAAACATTAGTTTTACTTCTCATCATTCTCATATGTTCCTCAAATCAGAAATCAAGATAAAGAAATAGAAATGGAAAACTGAAAACCATGAGAAACACACTTACCAATTTCAAGCAAGCATTCGCATAAAAAAACATGTATTAAGAACAAAAATAGAATAAACATTCAGTACCTTAATCAAGGGGAAGAGAGGGCATATCGCAAAATCAAACAATAGCAGTTCGCCGATCGAAATCACGAGAGGAAGACAAAGGAATAGATCGACAAAATGAAACCTATTGACAGTTGAAACAATACCTAAGATTTGGGCTGGTGATGCCCTAGGCTTTTCATGCCCACGCCCGCTGAAGGCTGTGTAGTAAAAATAGAAAGGGTTTGCTCTGTAGTTACTGAATGGTTTGTTTTAAAATGATTAAGTGATCAAAATGATATAGTACATAATGGAATATAATTGTTTGTTAATTGTTTAGGATGAAATTGGGTTGCCGAATGGTTAAAGGAGGCCGAATATTCAAAATCATTCAGAGTCCTTTAGAATTATTAAAAGACAGCTTTTTTTTACCAGACAAAATTTAGCTCTTAGGGATTCAGAGACTGTCTCTTAATGAAACTATTAAGAGGTAAAGTTGTGAGCATACCCGATATTACTACTACAAAAGTTATATCCAATCTGATCATACTGTATCACACCTTCATTTTCAGATTTGGTTACTCTTCTTAACAGCCTCACCAAAACCATAGGCTGCACTCATCAAAATCAAAGAATGATTGGTGACTACAGTGTGTACGTGTGTAAACAAACAAGGAGTTTAACAGGCCTGCAGCATCAATCTTAAGCCTTTGTCCTATACTAACACGCTTCAAAACAGCTCCTAAAAAGCTTCTAAACAGCCCTAAAATTAACAAATGGCAGCAACAATTAGAAACATAAATGACAAACCACAAAGGACATTATACATACATGATACAGTATGTATAATTAACAGTCAACCACCCAACAATTAACAAATGGCAGCAAAAGGCATGGATTTCAATTAGGATTTAGGCATACAWGATACATTAACATTATACATACAGACTAACAAACATACAGTGAAGTGAATCAAGTGATACAAGAATTAGAAACATAAATGGCAAACCATAAAGGACCAATTTCACAGCTTCATACTTAGGTTTTGCAATCAAACAAGAATTAGAAACATAAAAAATAAGATAAGTAAATAAGTAAATAACCCTAACCTCACAGGTCACAACTCACAAGATGCGAGAGCGAGAGCGAGAAGCCGAGAGTCGGTCGGCCGTCCGTCGGCGGTCGATAGTCGAGACTCGAGAGAGGCAGAGAGCGAGAGCCGATTGAGTCAAGGCCGGTTGCGATTTCGATTCGTGAATCGTGAATTGGTTTCTGTCCGTGAGTTCGTCCGTGAGCGAGGCGAGTGCGAGAGTCGAGGGAGGGCGAATTGAGTCAGGCCGATTGAGATTGTAGTGGACCGGTAATGGCAATCTTTTTAGGCCCAAATCAAAAGACATATAAATTGGGCTTTAGAAAATTGATGACCGCCATTGCTCCTGAGCTTATGGCCAGGGTCGGTCCTGCCCAAATATAATCATAAGCTAAACGATGTTACTAAATCAATGTTGGTCGATGGTAGTTTAGATCGGTAGTACTCGGTAGTGGTTTAGATAGCGGTGGTCGGTAGTGGTTCAAATTCCTAGTGATCCGTGATGGTTCAGATGGAGGTGGTCATGGTTAAAATAACGGTGGTTGAGATCGGAGGTGGATGTAATGGTTCAGATCAGTGGTTGTTCAAATCATTGGTGGTCAACGGTGTTCGATATTGATTCAGATCGGTGGTAGTAGCCGATGTTTGGCAATGGTTCAGATTGATGGTTGTCCATGGTGCTACCTTTGGCGGTGGTCGGATGTGGCTCAAATTGGCGGTGGTTCAGATTAACGGTTGTTCAGATCGGTGGTGGTTCAGATAAACGGTGGAAGGAAATGAATTGAAAAGAAAGAAAAAAATTAAAATCCTTAAAAGAATTATTAAAATTGTAAAACTATTCTATTTTTTATTTTAAACGATATATTTTTATAGGTTATATTAATAAAAATTATAATTTTCTTTTCCTTTTTCTCCTACATGAAATAATATATTTTTTCCCTTCCTTTTCGATAACATAAATTAAGAGTTATTATTTTCCCTTTCTTTTATCTTTAATTTTGAGAACACATCCGTAGAGATGTTCAAAAATGAACTCAGTCTGGTCCAGGATCAATTAAAATTAGAATATGTAAAAACGTGTTATAAATCAATTGGGATAAAGATTGATAAGACCTGATAAAAAAATGGTTATGTTTTTTACGAAAAGTCAAGGTCGATGCCGTCATGGCCATGGGCCTGACTCTGATAACACAATTTTATTTGCACAATCTTTGATTTTAAAAGAAGTTAAAATTTGCTTTATATTTCATTTATGTATTTAAAAACAGAAAACAAAGAAAAAAAATTAAGTTGTCAAAATAAAGCTTTACTTGTAAGTGTTTACTCATACACTTACCTAGTAATTGCTTACCGATAATATTCAACACTATCAGTTACTTTTTCGGATAAGATTTTAGTTCATAAAACCAGCATCATATGCAATAATCTATCCGGTAAGCATTAATCGGGTAAGACTTTTGATCTTTGCCTTTGTTCTTATAGAGTAAGATTACCGGTTCTTTTCATATTTATCCGATAAGGTAATCTGACTTGATAAACACTTACCGAGTAAGCGTTTGATAAACGACCTTAAAGTTAAAGGTACAGAAAATGTAAATTAGGACACAAATAGACAATAGGCTAATAAGTAGGGACTAAATCTGGACAAACAGTAAACTGAAAACATCATTTCAAAAGAAGAAATCGGGTCGGGTCCATATAACCCACCCGATTTTAAATCATTATATTCGCGAAATCATGACCCGAAAATCGTTTCTTGCAGAGAAAGAGAGCGAACAGGAAAGGGCTTTGCAGTCGATTTCAAATTCCCAATTCAATTTTCCTCAAGAAAGATCATCAAGTGTAGCAAAAGGGATTTTGATCTCGAACAATGGACGTGATAAAATCACAGCAGTTATCAGCACGGTCGATCGAGAAGGTGGTGGTACACCCTTTGGTGCTCCTTAGCATCGTAGATAACTATTATAGAGTTGCCAAAGATACTCGCAAGCGTGTCGTCGGTGTTCTCCTTGGTAGTGCCTTCAAAGGCACCGTCGATGTTACCAACAGCTACGCAGGTTTTTTTCTTGATCCAATAAGTTTCGTTTGTATTTGACGGTTTATTGGATCTGAGTTGCTTCCTTCTGGGGATATTTGGCTTAAATGGGTACTTTTTGGTATTTTGTGTGTGTTCCTGGACATTCTATGGGCATTGAACTGTTGGGGAAGCTTTGAAGTAAGGGATTATATTGTATAGTGATAGCCATTAGTGGTTATAGCTTATTGAAACATAGAGAACAATTTTTAGGTTTTATGATAGTTAGAAATGTAATTGGCTGAATTAGTTGGACAGATGGGACTTTCGTACTTGTTTCTTTGTATTAAAGTACTGCAGCTAGGGTATTATAATTCTGATCGAAGCTCAATAGGATTAAGCAGTTTGAATGATTCAGGTAGTCTGATGTTACTTCTGTTAAGATATATGCTGAGTAGTTGACTGCTATATGCTCTGAGGGCAGACTCACACATGAGAAGCCCATCCTCTTTAAAAAGAATAGAACGGAGCCATCATACAACATCAACTTGCTGACAAATCAAATCTGCTTCTGATGATTGCTCTCTATCACTAACCTGAACTAGTTCGTCATTATTTGTTCTCCTGTGGTACCCATGTACTATAGGTATATTTAGTATGCTCTTGATCAGTGCATTGGTTTCCCTTTCTTGAACCATACACCTAAAGACCTATGAGAATGCAGCATCTTTTACTAAAATGAAGACAAAACATAATATGCTTTATGATAGGAGCTCTGATGAATATCATAGCTGTCAATAAAGCCTAGTGTACAAACTTTCAGCTTTTTGACATAATTGCTTGCCTAATTTGGGATATAATTCTATGGGAAAAAATAAACCACATCATGATATTTATAGAGTTATAATTCATTTCAAAAATCAAATTATTGTTTTGTAAATCGTAACATGTAAGTTCTCAGCTTGATGCAGAATTTGGTGTTGAAAAATAGGATTTGGATTTGACTAGATGATTTAAGTAACCCAGGAGTCTAGTCTTCACACCTAGAAGCATACCAAGCATCACTTCAGTAATATAACTGAAGCCATCTCACTTGAGGTCGATAGTTTTAGGAGAAACTCTTTGTTAATGTATTCACTAAATGTCATTCAGTTGTTCTATCTGGGGATTACATCTCTGTATATGCTTTAAAAATGAGGAACTACTATAAAAGACTCAAATACCCTTTAAGAAGAAATGACGCAGCTAATTAGCCATAAAAGTATTGATGATAAAACCCTATATTTACTTCAATTCATATCCAAATGAATATTAGACGAGATCAAAACAAGCATGAAGTATCTAATAAATTTCTTTTGTGCTATTCCGTCAATTCAGTGAAATTCAGCCTCAAAGTCTGAATTTTCGTAGTATTAGAAAAAAAAATCACCATTGCGAATTTGCAATGATCCTCTTGTAGCCATGTATGATTTAGGTTTCATCTTGAAAGAGTTTGTTGCAACCAAAAAAATCCCAAGTCAAAACCTTGTATGGACTGGTGTTCACTTCAACATCATGGAGTAAAAGATCAATCCTCGACGATCTTTGGAATAGAATTTGTGGTGAAATTCCCCTATTCTATTCTTTGATTTCAGCCGAAGATCCAGTTAACCTTTTTCTTTACTTGAGTTTAGGAATCACATATGGTATTCTTTCACATGGCAGCTTGTAATTGATACCACTCAATCATCTTCAATGTCTGCCACTTTTGATTTTGTCCTCAAGTACAACTTTCCTTGCTACCTTATTGTTGAGCACCAAAATTTGAGCCTTAATCTTGTAGGTTAGAGTTCATACTTGAATAATTTCTCAACCTTTGGTCTTGAATGATAATCAATCATACATCCTTTTTTTGTTGGTAAATTACGACTTCTGAACAACCTACAAATTCACATTAACAGTGAATAGATATGTGAACAATGATTGTCATTTTCTGTAGAGATTCTCAAGGCCTGCGCCGGTTCTTCCAACCCAAATTAACCAAAAAAAAAAAAAATCTGTAACCGGTCCTGCTCTCGAAAATTGGGCCTAATTAATCCTTGTCCTTGACAGGCTATAATTATTTATTCTAATTATATAACAATGCTTAAACTAACATATATTTGAAAAAAATATGTAGTATATGTTACCAATTCGAGTTGATTGTTGGTGATACAATTTTCGACTATAAAAACATGAAGTTCTATATAAACAATTAAAGTTGTTTTATCGTTTTGATAAGACTATTCCACTATGGTTCATTTGTTGCATCACAAAACCATAATAGTGTTGATATGTTTCTGTTGATTATTATGAGTGTCAAAGTTGTCTTTTTGAAAGTCAAAAAATTTCAGAAAATACCAGGCTATGGCCGGGTCTGTTAATTGGGCTTTACTTTAACAGTTCTTGGCAAAAAATGTTGGACCGATCAGGAATTTTGTGCTTGGGCCGGAGACAGTTTGACAGTATGAGGTCCCTGTGTGTATGCTTGAAAATTCCCTGAAACTTGAATTATATGTGAAAAAGTTCAATCAGTTGAAACATAAACAATTGTGCATGTAAGACAACACTGAGATTCATTCTTCTAAATGAACTGAGTACTTTTTTTTATAGTGCCTTTCGAGGAAGACGAGAAGGATCCCAGTATATGGTTTCTTGATCACAACTATCATGAAGCCATGTTCTCCATGTTCAAAAGAATCAACGGTAATGCTCAACTTTAAGAAATACAACATTGATTAGCGTCTTTTGTTTTCCACTTTCTGAACCTATTCTATGTTAGATTTTAACATTAAACTTTGTTGCAGCTAAGGAGCATGTTGTAGGGTGGTATAGCACCGGCCCAAAGCTGCGCGAGAATGATCTAGATATTCATGGTTTATTTAACGAGTAAGTATCAGGATCTTGTGCTGAAATTAGTTTCTCTTTTTGTCTTTGTAGAAAGATCATTGCACCATATGCCTTACGTTTTTGTTGTCAAGGTTTCTATCTATTAGATGTATTTATATGATTATATACTTCCCGTGCATGAAACTTGTCACCATGTGGCAGTGCACATATATTTTCACCATATAGTTCCTTTTCGTATTTTCATCATTGCATCATGAAGATGTTAGCATCCTCCATTTGATAAAAGTGTAGTGATTTTAGCACACATTGAGGAAAACCCTTTGCTACAATAATGACTTTTATCCGTGGAGATAATGAGGGAAATAAGAAATTGAATTAATTTGAGAACAATTTCTAGAAATATCATTATGTCTATGACTCTTAAATGAGAAACACTATCATATGATTTGAATTATAAATGTCCCATATACTTGACAAATATGTTAAAAAAATTGAAGGTCAACAATATAACAAATGAATTCTATTATGAAGAGTGATCTTTTTTGTTGTTACAAACATAATTGGTAAGTTTATTAGTAAAATAATATAGTTTCAGTATATAAGTTTATAAAGAAGATATTATAGTGGAACATCCTGAAATGGAGATGCAAGCCTATTCTGAAGTAGCAAGAGATAGCTTTTATTTTCAACCTTTATTCCTACTTTATCTTTTACCTTCATTTATGTGTTTGGGGGACCCATATTATCCCAAACTCAACTATACTGGGTTAAAAGCTAAATTGAATTTGAGCTACCGTGTGAATTTGTTTCATTTGCTAAAATTAACCACTTAAAGACTGCGGTACCCTGGCGTTCAGCTTAGTTACACTTATTAATATGAAAGAAAGATTGTTGGCAATCACCATACAAATTTCAGCAGCCAGGACCCAATGTGCATATAAAATCTTTTACACGACCTGACTACTCAAAAGTGACTGCTCTTTGAATTTGTTCAGTGACTGTTGAATCTTGTTACTGCAGCTATGTTCCAAATCCTGTATTGGTGATAATAGATGTCCAACCCAAGGAGTTGGGAATACCCACAAAAGCATACTATGCTATTGAAGAGGTTAAAGAGGTAAAATCATAATCAGCTCCTTTTTGTAGCTTTTGAGCTTTGTCATTCGTACAATCCAATTCGATTATCATTTAACATGATACCCATTTGTTTATCAAAAAACAGCCAGTTTATAAGTTTTGTCTTAGTACATAAGTGTCATATTAAGATGGTAGGCTAACAATCATTGCTTCAATTTACAGAATGCCACTCAGAAAAGCCAGAAGGTTTTTGTTCACGTGCCTTCAGAAATCGCTGCACATGAAGTGGAGGAAATTGGTAATTTATGTTAAATAACAGAATTAGTTAGTGCATCCCCTCTTCTGTTGCACCAATTTCAATATCAAATCTATATGTGTTTGTGATTATTTTGATCTTCTATTAATTGGAATCCTCTTTCAACAGGAGTGGAGCACTTGTTGAGGGATGTTAAAGATACAACTATCAGCACACTTGCAACAGAGGTTTCCTTTCTTTATCTTCGCCTTACTTTCTCAATCCTTCCCTTCACTTTTGGATATGGCAGTTAGTATCACCACACTTCAACAAATTTGGCTTTATAGGACTACAAATATGTCTAAATGTCGTAATAGACTGCTTTATGTGATTTTGTGCGTCTTTTTTAAAGGTGTTATGATAAGTTGCTTGGGTGTCCTAACAATTTTTTTGGACACTCGTTAATAAAATGTCATATTAGTATTTTATGACATTATTTGAAAAAGTGTCATATAGAAACATGTGTCCTATAAAAGGATGTGTTCATTATTCACTTCTCAAAATGTCCTATAAAAAAGCTAATAGGACACTTCATTTCATAAGTTTTCTAAAACCTGGTGTTCTATCAACCTTTTATAACACTTTTACAAAGGACGCACAATTGTTTGGTCATATAAAATAGTCTATTAGGACATTTAGACATATTTTCCATCCTATAAAGCAAAAATTGTTGTAGCACCAACTGCCCCACCACACTTGCGAAACTATTTGTTTTTTGGACATCAATATTTGATCTTAAATGAAAAGGGGATTTTTGTTCATCTCAATATAGGTCACTGGAAAACTGGCAGCATTGAAGGGGTTGGACGCACGGCTGAGGGAGATACGTGGATATCTGGATCTTGTTATAGATGGCAAACTTCCATTAAATCATGAAATACTGTACCATTTACAGGTATTCTTTTACATTGCATCCCAATATCTAACATCACATCTATAACTTTTCAAAGGAATTACTGCTGACTAATTTCAACTTTCATCTCGTGAAGGTCGCTGTAAAATGTTTTCTGTTTCTACTGTGAGCTTCATATTTGTTGTCTGCAGTTCATTAACTGTGTTAAATTGCAGGACGTCTTTAACCTTCTTCCAAATCTAAATGTTGCTGATTTGATAAAAGCATTTGCAGGTATATATATACATAATAGAGGGGGAAAGATTACTAAAAATTGTTATTTTGTATTTTTGGGTCATTATATATTGCTTGTTTCTTGCCCATGAATTTTGCAGTGAAAACTAATGACCAGATGCTTGTCATCTACCTTTCTTCTTTAATCAGAAGTGTGATAGCTCTTCATAACTTAATCAATAACAAGGTAAACACTCTTTTCTATCATAAACTTGACTGTTATTCTATTATTGGTCTTTTTTTGGATGAATATGATTCTAAATTTGTCTATTTCTTCTATTTTTGAATTCATTGATGTGAAAGTTTATTTATACAATTATACAAACAAAAATGTCAGATACCATCGAAATGCTGATCACTCGATGTAAAATTGAAGGAACCAAAAGAATTAGACATAGAAGGATTCTACAAATATAAAGGAAATACTCCCTCCTTCCCAAAACAACCGTCTACATTTCTATCTGAGTTTGTCCCAAAATAAGTGTCAACTTTCAAAGTTAAAAATTTACTTTCCCATATTACCCTTTGATTATAGGACAGAAATTCTCTCTCTCTCTCTCTATAATTAAGGGTAAATTTGTCATTTGCTTACCTAAAAGTGAGTGTCATTTTCGATGTGGACATTTATTTTGGGACGGAGGGAGTAACTATTGTCAATCCTTTTCTTGATATCTATAATATACTATGTTATAACATTTAGGTAAAACTCTTAATCTCAAGAGTACAATGTAACATCGAGTATAAGTCACTGTCTCACTGATGATGAACGAAAGATGAATGCCTTTTGAAAACCCCATCTCACATCTCATCATTTAGCCATAAAATAAAAACATATTTAGCATTTTTAGTCATTTATAGACATATGATAGTAATTTCTATTTTGCTCAAACATAAATTTCAGTTTTTTAAAATAGGAATCACATTAATTTATTATTCTCGGTTTACAACAAGCTTCTGTAGTGTTTGCACCATTATCTCAAAAGCAATGATTTCTATCATCTTCCAGGTAAAAAAAACCAACTGTTCATTAACAAATTGTCCATACTTGTGATTTGAGATGCTTCATTCAGTGGGTCAGGTTATGGAGAAAACCGCAAAAAAATGAAAAATTGAGGAACGCTCTGGTAACCGTTCATATGGATGGTATGTAAGCAATTTGTCCGGTATGCACATGTGCATAACATGCACACATGCATAAAAACCAAGAAACAACTTCAGTTACTTCTGTGTAATGTGCATATTGTCCAGATGAATGGTTACCTAGGTGTTTCTCAGTTTTATATTTTTTTGGGGGTTTTCCTCTGAACCTCCCTCATCATTCAGTATCATCGATATATAAAAACCAAATAAAACTAGCAGGGACCTTTTTGTTTCAGTGAAGAAAGGAACAAAAACTTTATTTATTTTTATTTGATTTTCATGTTCACCATTATATCTTGTTAATGATGTGTACCAAAATGGATTTGATGTAAAGATGTTAATGTTGGTTGTTTTTCAGATGCTTAACAAGGAACATGAGAAAGCAGAAGATGCAAAACCAGCAACGGTGCCACCGGTTGCTGGAAGTTAAGGATTCGTGTGGATTTTCGCTGCAGAAGAGGATCAATCACACTGGTAAATTTCCAGTAGAGTTTCTGAAATCTATGGCTACGTTCGGAAAAGCTCCAATCCATGCTTAATCTGACTAGAAAATGTGTATTGTGTTTGGATCTGAACTAGGAGGCTATTTACTCCCCATCTTTCTTAAATCGACGACTTGCCGTATTTTCGTTATTAACCATTCCTGAACATGGGTGTGTTAAGTTGGGCATGAATTATGGGATTTATCATGTGTCACTTTATCTTAGCACAGAACAGAAAGAGACATAGCAATGAATGAGGATCTTACCTGGTTAGTGTTTAGGAGGCGAGGCAAACGAGGTGATTCTTGATGCCTTGAGGTTGTTAGATTGGGTTGCGTGCATGTGACGGTAGGTAGAGGTAGGTATAAATTGGGTTTGACCGGGTCTTTAACTGGAAAATGTTATAACTAACCGGTCCTTTACCAGATTTAATATTTTTATTTTCTTAAATATTTCAAATAAACATAAGATTTACTAAACGTTTTTTAGTGAAGAATTGTGAATTGAAATTTATGTTTCAAATAAATGTATTTTTAAATGGTTTATTTACGTAACTTGTTTTAAAATATTTCGCTTACGCCAATTAAATATTGGATTTATTAATCATTAAAACATGAAAAAATGGGTTATGATTTTTTTTAGTGTTTGAATTTGTACGAATGAACTACAAACTCAAACATCTATACTCCCAATAGAAGGGCAAAGTTGTCCAAAAAAGATCAAATAGTTATCATTGTTGTAAGGCAAAGAACGGTTACTATGGCTTGGTAATGGTAATCGGTTCAACGTCCATTCTTTTTGTAATCACAGATGTAAACAAAACCGTTAACCTATAAAACTCGTCCTTGCCAACTCGACCGGCCAAACCAAACCGCTTAAGCATCAACCCGCTAATTAGGAGGGTTGAAATTGGGTTAATTTAACTCAACTCATGCAAACCAAACCGCTAAGCCGCCACTATATATATATATATATATATATATATATATATATATAGGTGGAGGTTCAAACGAGAACTCCTGTGATTTACGAGAATGCGAGAATAACCCAATAACCTCAAACTTTTTTAATTAATAAATTAACTTTTATTATATATAAATAATTTAATAAGAACAATAATGTAATTAAGTAATTTTTATAATTTTTATTTTATTTTAATTAACCATAATTATCTTTTCACGTTCCACGTTTTACTCTTGGTAGTTATCTTCTTCTTCTTCTCGTTAACATCTTTTCTTCATATCACACCTATATCACATAA